TTCAAACTACCATGACCCCACTGTATGTCAAATTCCACCATTTCCACAGTACTCACCTCAATTTAAATTTTTCCCTACCTTTGTGTCTGTCTGCCTCTTTTACATCTGTGAATCGCTCTTCTGTTCCCCCTCTCCACTTTTTCTCACTTTGATGTTCCTCCCCCCCCCCCCTCTGTGAAGCCCGAAGTCAATTAAAGGGCTACTGTGTGTGTGTGTGTGGGTGTGTGTGGGTGTGTGTGAGTGTGTGGAAAGCATTTCACAGTTGCTAGTAAAACGACTGTACGGAAGTGTGACCCTGTTAAGTATGAAAGCTAAAAACTGGACTCAGATTCAATTTGCTGTTAATAGTTGCCACGTGATGCACGTCACTTTGAAGATATTAAATTTATTTAAAAATTATAATTTTGAAAGTTGATCAAGAACTTACATCATTAAAGTAATGGGAGAATGAATATTTATGATGGGTATCTACTAATCTCCATTTAACTAATAAACATTTCAGCAGATTTGAAGGTCAAGACCTTGACATCACTACTTGGCCAAGTTTCCACTAAGGCAATTTGAATTGTTTTTATAGTTTAGAGTTATCATAAATTTGAGATTGAAATTACAATTAAATATTTTTTTTTCAGAAATTTAACAACTTACGGTACTATTTACAAAACACTTATATCCAGATCAGAATCTAAATGGCATATATTTAGGCATACGGTAGCTTAAAATAGCAACGCGCATAGACCTCCTGTCAATGTTAACTGGGGTTAGTAAGAAAGAATTCAACAATTGAAGTTACGTCACTGGAATTCCAATAAAATTCCAGACTTTAAAATAGGCCAAATAGCATGACCAAAACAAATAATTAGGTAAAATTGAGATCAACAATTGCAGTTAGTGGCCTTTAATGAAGATAGAAGCCGAATCCTTGTTATATACTGGTGCAAAATTGATTGACTTCATACATTTATTATTTATATCAAATGGCAGACGTTCTGATGGCTATCATTAGCCCTTTAGTTGACTTCAGGCTTCACAAAGGGGAAGGAACAACAAAGTGAAAAAAGTCGGGAGGGGGGAGGAACAGAAGAGTTTCAAAGACGAAGTTAGAAAAGGTGGTAAAAAAGGTGAGCTGAGTACTGCAGAAGAAGTCGAATATGACATACAGTGGGGTGATGGCAGTTTGAAGTTTTGTTTGCCGTATGAGTGTACATTGCCCAGGGTGCCCCAAGTGGAGGTAAGTCTATCGCACATCCCACTTCATACATCCAATTAAACAAAGTTCGCACTTAAGTAGCACTTATAAAAGACCTGTCTTAGGCTCTCTCTCTGTTTACTTGACAGACTTCCATTGGTGATACTAGACGTGTATCAATGAGGATCAGGTGTGTATGCTGAACGCTTTGGCGCCGACTTCCTATTGCGAACCTACTTTATCGATTAATGCTCCATTGTCCCTGGTAATGATGTCTTCTAAACATCATATTTCAACTAACCTCATGGAGAACAAGGTCCAAGTTCTCGGTTCTTTCAAAAAAAAAGCAGAAGTGTTTTCTCATAAACTCAGGGATGATATTTGGTCTTTGAAATGAAAGATTATACGCCCTCCTCCCCCCTCTCTGGGACTGAATTATCGAAGATGCAATTTGCTCAGTGGGTAGTGTCGTGTCACCTACAACACATCCCAATTGTAAATAATATAAATATCAAAAAAGGGGCTGATTTCTGTCTTCATATTAATTTTGTGCGAATCATTTGTTATAAATAACACCCAAATCAAACTAAATATCAATATTGAACCGTTTTGGATTTGTTTTTATTTAGCTTCTTGAAGAAAACACAAAGCCTGGAGTGGGATCTGCCATCTCTGTCACTAATAACAGAGGTGGGGAAAAATATTCTGTTTTTTGTCACTATGAGATTAATTGACTTCTTAATTTGCACTTAGCACAACTCTACTAATGGACCGCCTTGCGCGTATGTTGTAAACAGCGCGTGTCCCAAATTAACAGATGTCAATTTACTTTAATGTAAACGCAAAGTTGATCCACTATGGTAATTCTACTCCAAAATATCGATCACCCTTATGGGAAATATAAGCCCACGCCTTCATAGAATCTGGGGAATTAGAATGGGGTTCATTTTAGCAGAGGAGCGAATGCCATGGGCAAAATTATTGTCTCTCAGGAACGCTCTAAGGGACTTTCGATGTCTGATTTCCGATTTGAATTAGCTATGTCACATACAAGGTCACCGATGACACCAAATTTTAGAATGTCTTTTGTCCCATTGATAACGTGATATTTAATGAAGGACTCTCCAAGCAACCATCTGAAAAGATGACACAGGGAAACACAGATAAACTAAAATTCAACTTCCAGATTTCCACACCTCGCCAAAGTTGAATGTCCCTAGCTTTGCATCCGCTTATTCGAATAGCACAACTCAAATTGTCTTCATAACTTGTCATACATATGACTATGACTTTCCTTTTCAATTATTAAAAGGGAAGTAATTCAACCGTGGCCATGATGTATTAATAGGCAATGAGTTTTCATTGTTTCATCAGCGCCCTCTTGTCATTTGAATTTAAGTTGCCTATTGCTATTTGTGGTCTATTTTGTAGAAACCAGTCTAATTTTGATCATACGCCCCCATTTACAAAATATGAACTCTGTTTATCTCGTATTAATTTAAACAAACCGCTGGCCTGCATTGTTTATCCGATCCGATTATTATGGGGCCAAAATCGAAAGAAGGCAAATTTTCGGAGTGCTTGAGATAAAATCGAAGCAAGGAATTATATTTTGTTTTTTCGATGACTTAGTACAGTAGGACTGAATGAGAGAATTTGCGCAAGCAACGTTTTGTACAAATGATGCAAACTAATATCAAGGGAGTGTGTGGGTGGAATTATGATTGTTCTTTCTCACATTTAACTGGATTTGTGGGCTCTTTGGAGAGAGGGTTTGTGGAATTGCTTTTCTGGTTAGAATCGGAGGCCTCCTCAGTCTCACAGTCATGACCAGTATTGCCATCGTCTTCATCTTCGTCCTCGTTACTAGGCATTGAGATACGGCGACCCAAGACAGCCTTGATATCCAAACCACCTGGTGTTGCTACTTCTTTTCGTTTGCGCTCAAACTCCTTGCGTTTAGCCTTCTCTTCCTCGGTCATTTCAGTACGATTGTCATCATCAACAACTATTGGGACCACCTAGAAGGTTAATTAAAGTCAATGTCATCAACTCATCAAATATTGATTTATCAAAACTAGTCTCTCATAGCGCCAATCTAAGCTGCCAGTTGCTCAAAAATTCTAAATATGCTAATTCTGTTAATAATTTCAAGTTCTTAATCTCGCAATTCTTCTTGCTTTCACTGATTCTTGTGAGTAATTAAGGCATACGAACCGAGTTTTTTTCCCAAATAGCTGTATAGTATGCAGTTGATTCCCTGCTATAATTCATACGTTTCGAGCAATTTTATTGAGATGCTTCCTGACTAACAAAATACTCTACTTATTAATCGTATTGGTTGTCAGCATTATTACATTTTTTATGATCAATGAATCATTGTTTACAAACACGTGAAAGAGGCGAGTATTGTGTGGAGAACAAGCAAAAATCCTCTCTGCATTGGTTTGTTCCATTAGGATTAAGCCAACTACTTTGCAATTCTTGTCAAATGGTACTACCGAAGATTTGATTAAAATGAAAGATGAGCTACTTTCAATACAGCAATTACCAAGAGGATAAGATTTTTAAATTTGAAGATATTCACTTAAAACCAGGGATTGCATATATATTAAATAATTCGTAGTAATTATAAGGTTTTATTGAAAACTTATTATTCATATTTTATGAAGAGTTTTTTTTATAATAAATGAAAAAAAATCCGAAAGGGATAAGATATTTTCATATTTGTCTGTTTGATATGAACGGCATTGGAAAGGATTATTAAATTTAAATATTTTTTAATTGACATGGGTCGAAATTCAATAAAGAAACTCACTTGAAATATTGTAATAGAAAGAATTAAGATAAAATGGGTTTAACAAGACAATGTAATGTCAAAATTTTAAATAAGGAAGAAGTAAAGAGTATAAAAGCTGATTTTAAAGTTTTGCTCTCATGGTATTCGTATTTAAGAGTTTAAGAGTTTCAAGTTAGAATCGTACCAAAAATTGCCCCCACCAGATATTCACTTCACACTCAAATTAGAACATGCAAGCCAGTCCATTAAATTCGTATACGGATGACAAATGGAACAATTCACGAGCTTTTAATTATGATAGGACTGTCCTAATACTCACGAAATTGTGGGGGGTTGGGGGGAGAAATGAATTGAATGAAATGAAGACGTTAACTTAAAGTTATTAAAATAGGGAATTTTATACAATTTTGGACTTTTATTTAACCCGGATATAATGGGTTTTGAAAATTGGAGTATTGCCTAGGGTACCTAAGTTCGAATCTCAGAATCCGAACTTAGGTTTCTGAGAAACATTGCATATTCTCATGATTTTGGTCATATTACTTCAACAGGTGAACTCGATGCAACTGACATGTTGTCCAGTAAAAGTGCTGTCAATTGTAACTAGCTAAAATATTAATCTGGCGGGCACTAATAAAATCTACTCGATTAAAATTTAAATATAATTTGAAATCCATAGATTCTACTATTTGAGTAGTTCATACTGCTCAAACAAGCCCTATTGATCCGTGATAGCTTTAAAGAATTAGATGAAACAATGGAAAGCGTTTCAATATTAACAATTCGTCCTATAAACGTGCCAACTTCAAAATGGAAAATGGGAAATCGAAGCCAAATTGCTTAAAAAATTTAATCATGGATATGACCTTTAGAAACATGAATTGGCTATCAGCAGTTGTAAAATGATACCAAGATGTGCGAAAGGTATTCAGTGCACTAGAATTAGGGAAACAAGTGTCTTCCAGTCACTTTTCATCATTGAAATGGTCTTCGATAACTGATTGATTTCCCAAACAATACACTCCTCTTATTATTATTATTAGCATTATTAACGATTAAATGTAAGAATCAGAAAAATTACGATTTGTATCAAGATTATTTCGAAGATGTCAAGGAATGTGAGAAGTCCGATTCCACCCAGAGAGATTGTCATAAATATATAACCCCAGCAATAAACCTGCTTAGGCATAAAAATGTATAGCCGCTAACTTCACTTTAATTTTGACGAGAAGTTGTGAATAAAAGTTCTTCAAATTTCTGTAATTAAATGCGAGGTCAACTCTGCCTAATTGATAGCCAAGAAACTGACGACTGAGACTCAATAATTTACTTTTACAAATGTTGCATAGATATTTTGTGCTTCAATATCGAGGAAGTTTCAACCACTGGTTGTGTTCAAAGTTAAAACGTTCTGATGAGTCATTTGAGTCTTTAGAAGAATCACTTATTGGAATCATGATTAAAGAGCTGAAACTTTTGTTTATTTATAAAGTTCTCTTGTGCTGTAATTACAATTTCATGTTTTTAAAAAAAGATTGTCGTATTTCAGTTATTCATGATTAAATATTATATCCAATCGATTTTTCGTTAATTAGCATGTTTGCAGTCATAATAGGTAATTACCAACAAACTATAAGTACACTTTAACGATAGTCTTCTCTCCGTGTCCAGAGAGAAGCTAAAATTGGCCGTTTTAATGGCGATATAGTGGCAGCTGATCCCAAAATATTCTCTAGTTTTAAGGACCTTTTCCTATTTTTTACTAATTTATTAATATACAGGATATTGATTTGGTTCTTACTTCTTCATGAACCGGAGGTGCAATGATCGGTTGTCCAGCCATTTCTGTGACGAATTGCTGCAGAACACCATCGTCCTTGAAACTTGCTCGCTTGGTATAGATATTGTAAGACCCAAAGTTCGCTAAATAATTAAATAAGTGAACATGTAAATACGACAGGAATGCATTAGATTCAATATTTCATTCAGTGGTGTACGCGATAGACTTACCTCCATGTAATACAGCCGGGGCAGCATATACTTATGCAGCAAAATGTCTATAAAAGGACAGTTGACTTCTCACTTCAAACTACCCTGACCCCACTGTATGGTATATTCCACCACTCCCACAGTACTCACCTCACCTTTTTTCTGCCTTTGTGTCTGTCTCTTTCACATCTTTGAGACACTCTTCTGTTCCTCCCCCCCTTCCTCCCGACTTTTTGTAACTTTGATGTTCCTCCCCTCTGTGAAGCCCAAAGTCAGCTAAAGGGCTAATGATAACA